CTCCTGGCAGTTTCCACTGCCTATTCTAGGTCCTGCACCTGCTGGCTCCTGATTTCAACCAGCCCATGATGTGGTCTCTCTCTCACTTTAACTCAAACTTTTCTCTCCCCAAGACTACCCTCTGTATGGAATGTATATAATGAACACAGTCCTCCTGCATTTTGCATCCTGTGTGTAATGAGGATAGTGACTTCTCGGTTGCAAGGTACACATAAAGCTCTTCATTATAACTCCTAGGGGACAGAGGATACCTACTATCATTTCCCCCATTTTGTGGGAAAATTGAGACTCCTAGAAAAATAGTCCAACTAGATAGGAACAGTTCAAAAAAGAGAAAAGCAAAATTGCCTCTGGAGCTTAGGATAAGTTGCTCACTTTTATAGGCAGTCAAGGAAGCTCAAATTAAATCAATCACGAGACCATTCTTCATCGATTAGACGAGCATATGATTGAGAGCACAATGACCTCTGGGGCTGGCATGACATGAAGCCAGGCGCTCACATGCCTAGTTCCCGAGCGTGCATTGCTGCAAACTTTACACAAATGAACCTTACAATGGCCATTAAAATTTAAAAAGCATGTCCTCTGAACAAGCCACCCCACTACGGAGACTCAAACCTACACAAGTAAAATCAACGATGCTTGAAACACTTGCATGAGGATGTTGTCTCATCCCACGGGACTGGGGAAATGAATGATTCCTAGGGCATTGTTAGAATATGGAGGGGAAAAAGATGGAAACAACTCAAGGGTGTTTTAGTATTGTTTGTGGGGGAATGGAAACAAACAAAATTTTCCTCATCCCTTGAGTGGCTGAGTATATTCTAACACATTGCTAATTGATACTGTTACACACAGCCATGTTACAAAGACTATACAGCAGTTTAAAAGAATGAATTAAAGTTCTGCGGCTGAGTGAGGAACCAACCTAGCCCACCCCTTAAAACATGTCATAAAGCAATGTTTGGGATAATGGGAGTCTGTAAAATTGCTTCAAGTGGGAAAATACAACTGCCTTCCTGACTCATTCAAAACCCCCAGCAACTTCCCAAAATAACTAAAACTCTCTCCAACACCCATACAATCACCCATCAAGTATTTTTGCATAACAGAGTGTTTAAAACACCAATAACCTAATTATTTAACACCTAATGAGCCCGCTAGAAGATGTGTGTGTACACACTCAATGTAATGCCTTCCTCCTCTACTGCAATTAACGTACCCTGTAATAAAAGCAAATAGGGAAATAATATGCTAAAGATAACAGAACAAATGCAAAAGAAAAAGACTTAGCAAAAGAAAACGAACAAAGGAACATTTTAATAATAGCAGCTTGCAGGTTGAGAGTTGTCTGGGTGAGGAGGGAGGAGGGCACTGATGGGTACCACGTGCCACCCAGTTGCCCCTCTGGAAGGACCTTGTTCTCCAGGTGCAGGTAGGTGCTGTGAGCAAGCAGCCTTCATCTGCAAACCCCTTCAGGAAGAGATTGTGTGGGGCTGGGGATGTGACTCAAGCGGTAGCGCGCTCGCCTGGCATGCGTGCGGCCCGGGTTCGATCCTCAGCACCACATACCAACAAAGATATTGTGTCCGCCAAAAAGTAAATAAATAAATAAATTTAAAAAAAAAAAGGAAGAGATTGTGCACAGACTGTGTCCCCACAGTCATGCCCCTTCCCAAGCAACTGTCATCCAAAAAACTGATGGAGTGGATCCTGGGCTTCCTGGTCTACTGGACAGAGGGCAAACTTCCTGGATGGTCCCGTAGGAGCTGTGGGATGTCTTCCACCTTTCTTCCTCCACTAGACTGCAGGGCAGAGAGGCAGAGGGGCTTCTCACAGGAAGGATGCTGAAGTGCATCGCAAGGAGTGAGCGGGAGTCTGTCAAGCGCACACACCAGGGACGAGTGTGATGCAGAAGGAGTCACCGAGGAGAATGGAATGGAAGAAGAAATGCTGTGGAGGTAAGGTATGTGCTGGCTATGAGATCCCAATTGACCTGCTGGGAAGTTTGTCCTCTGCCTATAGGGCAAATGGAGAGTCGAATGAGAGTGAAGTAGGGCTGGTACCAGCTTCAGATCAACCTGTTCCAGTGCTGAAGGTGGATGGGGGTGGAGGGAGTCAATGTCTTGCTCGGGTTTTGTTGAATCAATGAACAGATGCCGTTAGCCACTTCTACAGGCAGGGATAGTGAAGGGGACCCAGGTGGGAGACATTAGGGATGTGATGTCAGGCTTGGTGACTGAAATGCGTGTGTATTGGATGAGCAGTAGACAATAGAGGTCAACCAGGAAGCCCCAGGGCTGATTTGGAAGGTGGGGTGGTGGTCCTGCAGAACCACAAAGACAGCTTTGAGTTTGGGAGTAGATCCTTCTTATGAGAAAAGTGCATCCTGAATCTCATCACCAGGAAGTTGGAAAGTACCATGTTATCAACATAATGGTGATCAGAGGCACACAGGACAGTTAAAATCTGCCAACATTAGCTGAGTGACCTTATGAAGATATTTTATCACCACTGGGTCGGATCCTTCAGCTCTAAATAAAACACAAACTGCTCCCAGGGACACAGTGGTGAGGATCAGCGAATCACTAGTAGGGTGAGTGTGATCTCACCTTGCATCCCCAGTCTTATGCACCTTGGGAGTATTAAATATCCTGTCCCCATGAAAGGCTTCTTTGCACTGTCCCTCTCGCCTGTCCTCTGAGCCTCTGCCTGCAGCATGAACTGTGTCTCCCTTTGTACAACCCAAGTGCTGCCGGACCTCAGACTCATCTTCACCCTCCTCCTCGATCTGCAATGCTTTCTTAGTAATTGACTACAAACTAGAATGTGATCTCTTCTCTAAGAGTCAGTCCTCAGAACAAATTGTAGCTGCATTTTTCCTTCTCATTTTTCTCCCGAGTGGTGTGAGCTCCATCATCTTAAAGATCTCTTTGTTTGACAGATAAGTGCATTAGCGTGGACTGGGATGATCTCTCTTCTCTGTCGTAATAATTATTTCCTCTTATAATTTCTGAGTTGTATCAGGGCTTCGAACGTCATTCTGCCAGCCCTTGAAAGATTTCCACTGTGCTCCCAATAGCAATGCCACATGCAAAAGGAATGACATCAGCGAAATTGAACAGATTTATATGAAGATCTTATAGGAATAAAGCAAATAGCCCTGATTAGCTAAGCGGGATGAGAATCATTACTGACATATTCATTTAGCAACGGTTCCAAACAAAGGCAGCAGGAGCATCAAGGTTGGGGGTGGCTCATATCATCTCTAATTACAAATAATTCTTTATGGTTGTAACTTGATTATTATGTTCAAACTTTTATCCGGGGATTTGAGGGACCACTAAGGAATTCTATCTGCACATATCAATATTATGAGTAAAATTCCAAGGCCCAAAATATGAGAGGAAATGGAAAGCTATGCAAGAGCCTCACCTCATTGTGCCCAAAGGTTCTGCTCACGTAACTACGTACCACAAATATGCACTCTGCTCTGAAGCCATTAGTTGCTATTAGTAAATGTTCAGTTGTGTAGAGGGGAGCCAGGAAGTCAACAGGTGATGGCCACCTGGGGGAATTAAAATGCAGTCCCTGGACCAGTCACCTAGACATCACCTGGGATCTTGTTGGAGATGTGGAGTCTCAGGCCACCCCAGATTTGCAGCATCAGAATATGCAATAGGTCAAGATGCACGCAGTGACCCATTTGGACGCGAATGGTTTGAGAAGTGAAGATTTAGAAAATAGCTTCCTGCAAGTAAAGCCAAGACCCGGGTAGGAGCTGTCAAGCAAAAAGTGGCTGCAACTTTAGGCAGTGACTATGATCTCATTTTGGCAAATTACACTTACAGAAACCTATTTCCAACTAAGGTCACATTCTGGGATTGCAGATGGACATGAATCTGGAGAGGACACGGTTCCACCTAAGATGGAGAAGAAGAAGTGGTAAGAACCCTAGGCAGGGCATTAGGATGCCTGAGTTTAGCTCCTGGCTGGGCATTCCCGTGGGCCTTGGTGCCACATATATTTAAAACAGTGGGATTAAAGATCCCTATTTAGCCAGGTGTGGTGGCACACGCCTGTAATCCCAGCAACATGGGAGACTGAGGCAGGAGGATCGCAAGTTCAAAGTCAGACTCAGCAATTTAGCAAAGCCCTAAGAAATTTAGTGAGACCCTGTCCCTAAATAAAAAATAGAAAGGGTGGGGATGTGGCTCAGTGGTTAAGCCCTCTGGGTTCAATCCCTGACACACACCAACAAAAATCCTTATTTGAATATTTTCATTTTTTTATTCTAAGGTGGCAGAGAAGCATCCAGAGGGTGATGACGGAAAGGACTGAATTTCCTCTGTGTGTTAGCACTCAGACTTTGGGGCAAGGACCCCAGAGTTTGGATGGCATCTCCAAATCAGTCTTCCAGACTCCTTGGGTAGGCCCCTTGTCTCCAGGATCTGTCTCCTTGAATTTAAAACTAAGCTTAGAACTTGGAACTCCCTTGCAAGAATATGGTAAAGAACTCGTATTTAAAATAAAATAATTCTCAAGCATGCTGCAATTGTGAGGTTGCCAGAGGAATACTAACTAGGAGGTAACCTATCAAGGTTCCTCAGATTCTAAATCTGGCAAGAGAGAGAAAGAGAAGGTGGGGGACAGGGGAGAGAGAAGGAGCTATTTTTAATTCCTGGCCAAGAAAAAAAAATTTTTTTAAATCCACACTAATATTATGAGCTCAGCCTATTCGAACAATGAATTCTGTTTCCATAATTGTCCTGTCCGCAGTTAGTCTTATGGAGAGAACAAGAATCCTGGTGACTTCTAATTTAAATCTGCTTTCCAAGTGGTAGGATGGGGGTGGGATGCTTTGGGAGCCCCAGGAGAGCCCTGAGAGAAGTGGATGGTGACCCATCCTGGGGGCAAGCTATGACTCATAATTAATATTTAACATTGCTTTAAAAAAAATAAGTGACAAGACCCTTAATCAGCACACACATTATCTAAGGTCAGGAACAGAAGGAAAGCATCTATTGATTGAGTTGCTTTTTACCCCTCATCCGCATTCATGTGCCTCCATGTATATGTTAATCAATAATGTCTACAATGTCCAGATTTTTTTTTAAAAGGTCTCCCCGTTGCAACTGTTGAACCTGCCAGCTCTTTCTGTACTCAACACTGCCCGCCAGGGAAGTGCGTGGGCAAGAAGATCTCTGGTTTAAGGAGATGGCTTCCATCTGCGGTAGCTCTTCCATCTTCCAAGTAGCTCTCTGCTCTTTGAAGGAGAGGACCGTGTGAGTTCAGCACGTAGTTTCCTGTGGGCTGTTATATTTTAGAGATATTTTAAACACAGAAAAGTCCAGAAAATAACAGAGCAAATTCCCAGGTTCCCACCACCCAAAATGGACAAAAGCCAACATTTTCCCTTTTGAGGTTTTTAACATTTAAAATGAATGAAAGTGACAGATCAGGTTTTGTCCCTTACAGACCCACTTGTGGGACCACTTCCTCCTCTTTCTCTCTCTTTTATTTTATTTATTTATTTTTAAATACATATTGTCTTAGTTGTAGATGGACACAGTATCTTAATTTTATTTATTTCTATGGTGCTAAGGATCCAAACCAGTGCCTTACACATGCTAGGCAAATGCTCTACCACTGAGCCACAGCCCTAGCCTCTTTTAATTTTTTTTATTTTAAGACAGGGCCTTGCTAATTTGCTGAGGCTGGCTTTAAACTCAGGATCCTCCTGCCTCAGCCTTCCCAGCCACTGGGAATACAGGTGTGTGCCACCAAGCCCGGGATCCTCTTTCCTTCTTGAATGGGGATCATGTCTTCAGGCCACCTTAAGAGCCTTCACCCTCTGATGGGCACATACATGAACGATTTATAATATTCTTGCCTGGGCTGTTTTAAAGTTCCTAAAACTTGCTTTGTTTCACTCAATACCTTGGGTGATAACCTGTATTGCTCTTTACACGTCTAATTTCTTCCTTTTGATTGCTGATAGAAGTCTGTGGTTTGACCACCTGGGTCTTGTCCATCTCTCCCCTGCTGATGGACATTTAGGCAGTCTCTGTCGTTTCCCTTTTGCAAACAAGAGCATCCTAACCACATCTCCTGTTCACAGATACAGGTCACATCTAGATTGTGGGTTTGCACATTTTCAACTTCACAGGACACTTCGAGACTGCGCTCCAGAAAAGCTGGATCAACGTGCCCTCCCATCCCTGTGGCATGAAAGCCCCTCTCACCAGTCCTCTCCCAAGTTTAACCTCACCCAGCTTTCCTCCTCCTTGCCAACAACCGGATGGGGGCAGGGGTATGTGTCCATATTGGTATCCTTTGGCTCTCTCTGTTGGAACTACAGAAACGTAGCAAAGGGAATGAATGTGGCTTGGTGTATAATGTTCAGTGAACATTGATAAATGGTACATTAAAAGGGTTAAGAGTGCAGGCTCAAATCAGACTGGATTTCTTTCCTGGCATGGCCACTTGCTTGCTGTGTGCCTTGGTTGTTTTATCTGTAAAATGGGGATGCTATTCATATCAGTTGTTGTGAGGATCAGCTGTGACCATGCATGGAAAGGATTTAGAACAGTGCAAGCACATACTCAGTGTCCTATAAGTGATTTCTCACACTCCTAACGGAGCAAATTATTGTAAGCAGAGCTGCCCTCTGATTTGGGCAGAATCTGCTCAGGAACCTTGGCCCAGGAGCTCACCAAACTCAAACTGCAAACATTTCACCATGTGATGCCATGTCTTCCAGAAATTGAGAGCTCCATTTTCCCGGCTGTGGACTTTGGCAGCCTGGAGAAGACAGCATGAACACTGGGGAGGGTCCAGAGGATCTAGCTTTCTTTCTACCCTGCCTAGCTCAGCACCACGAAGGAGGTCTGGGAAGAGTCCAGGTGAAAGAAAAAAAGGAATCTTGAGACAGGAGAGAGGAGTGCCTTATGCAAGAGCTAGCTGCCCCATGATGGGCCCAGGAAGAAAGCAAATTGGACTGGCTCTGCAATAGAAGAGCCGGCAGGAAGCAACATCAATTCTCTGCTCTTCTGAGATTTCCCCTGCCAGCATTCTGAGTGATAATAAATCACTCATTTCTGACATGGTTTATTTCTCAAAGCATTTTTATAAGAAGCACCCAGCCATCTCATTTCAAACATAATTCAAATGAAAAAACATCCTGCTATGTTTATTATTAATTAAACAAGATTATAGGACTGACTTGGTAGAAATGGGCAGAAGGATACAGGCACCATCCCAAATATTTTACACCCACCCTGCCAGACCTTTCTGGGAGGGGCTTCCAGATGAGGTTCCTTTTGTCATAAATCCAAATATCTATTCATGCCTATCTGCATTTTGATGCTGGAATTAGATGCTCCATGTGTGCGGATGTTGGAATATTTATTGATAGTTAAAATTTCATGTTCCCTGGATTGATGTTTGTGCATAACGACAAATGACTAGTGTCTTGCAGGTAGTTTGAACAGGTGTAAAGTAAAGATTATTTAACACCAAGTTCTGCTTTCTGTCTTTAGATTCTCCAGGAAACAAGAAATCAAATCTCCAGGGAATATCCAGGTGGGAAATGGAAATAAATGATAAACATATAAATAAGTCAGTTCTGTTTCCTATTGGTTGGGAGCGAGCTTTTTCTTTTATGATCTTGTTACTGTTCCAAATTTATGAATTCTAAAAAATTTAGAGACTATTTGAAATATTTAAATGCGTTTTAAAGACTCTGCGTAGGCAAAGGAGCTATCACCTGACAACATCCAAAGCGTTTTTTTGCAAGCCCATGCTCTGCTCAGGGAGGGCCTCTGCCATCCGGGGCCTGAGCTCCATCAGTATGATGCATGAGCCATGGAGATGGCTGTGGCTGGTCACGGGATTAGAACAGCACCCACATCAGGGCTCTCCTAGGGATCCATCCAATGTGGGGGGCAGCAATAAGGAAGGGAGGCTTCATCTGCAGAGAATTTTAAAACAGCAATAAAACCGACTAAAAGTCAATCTGCTTTTTATTCTCACCATGTGCCAGCAATTCAACACAATGCCAGGGATACCACCTGCCTCTCCCCCGCATCTTTTCACTGGTTTACTGCAGTTACCGCCTAGCCCTAATAATATAGCTTCCAGTTAGCACATTGTATGATTTTTTTTTCATCTACGTAAACTTTGCACTTGATGGGGAGGTTGATTTGGAGAAGTCTTAGGCACATAGTCAGCATTCCTGCCCATCCTTACTCAGGGGCTCAGCTGCGCATGTTCAAGCAAAGGGGAAGCTCGCCAAGGTTCTGAATAGTTGGGCTCCCTTGGGGCGCAGTACATATCTCCAACCCCTGTGCATAATGTATTTCTGTGTTTAAACAGTAGATTCAAAATAAATGATTACACAGTTATTGTGAAGACAAAGAAACTGAATTCATGTTATTTCAATTCTGCCCTTCATTGTGACCACTTAAATTTTATTTGTTTAACATTTAAAACATCAGAACAGAAAGAGAACTGAGGAGTGTCATATTTTTGTTTGATCTGTGCAAATCTTAGTGTGTACAGGAGATATTTTACTGAATCCAAATAATATCTACTGCAAGGCTGTTATGGAAATGATTCTGTCTTGCAGAGGAAGGGATATCCCAACAATGGACCTCAGGTGTCTGGCTTCCTGGCACATCCCTGCCTCCCAGCACAGGCTTGGATCACCACCAGCTAGTGCAACTTGGGAAATTCAATTCATTGAGCATTTGCACAGGTCAGGGTCCTGTGGTCACGTGGGGACTGCAACAGATATCTCTAAACAATGAATCCCACAGTGAATAATTTAACGATAAATTATTGTAACAGCTGTGAGAAACAATGTGAGAAATTACTGTAACCATAGTCTGTTCCTGTGTAACAAATTAACCCCAAACTTGGCAGATTCAACTAAGAAAATACATTTATTATCTCAGTTTCGGTGGGTCAGGAATTTGAGAGTGGCTTAGCTTGGTGGACCTGACTCAAGGTCTTGCAAGAGCTTGGCTACATAATCTGAAGGCTCCATGCTCACTCACATGGCTGTGGGCAGGAGGCCTCAGTTTCTCACCACGTGTGCTCCTCCAGAGGGCTGCAGAGCATCCTAACTTCTCCCAGAGCAAGTCCTCCAGCAAAGGAAGCAAGGAGGAAGCCATAAATGCCTTCTGTGAGCTAGCATCCCAAGTCACACTTGTTGCTTCCACCGCATTCCGCTTGTTAGAAGTGAGTCTGTAATTGCAGCCTGCACTCAAGGAGGTAGTGTGAGGTGGTCTCCATTCCGAAGGGAGAAATGCCAACAAATTCATGGAATTATTTGAAAGCCCCACGCTAACCCTGAAGCGTGAAGGGGAATGCAGTCCGTAAAGAAGGAGGAAAGAACATTCTGGGTGGAAGAAATAATCTATGTAAAGGCCGCCAAGTGGGAAGGAGCAGAGCAGCTGAAGAGCAAAGGGCAAAAAGGAAAAGTGACTCTAGAAGGGGGAGGGTGATGGCTGGGTGGGGTCTCCCCACAGAGGATTTGGGGTGTTACCCCCATAAAAGGGTGTTGAGGGGATCCAATTGCATTTTTAAAGGAAATCCATGGAAATCAAAGGGAGAATGTCAGGAAGAGACAGAAATAGATGGAAGAGAGGCCTATTAGAAGGCAATCACCATAACTCACAATGGAGGGATATGGCATGGACTAGGGAGTGGTCATGGGCAGAGAGTGGTGGGGTCCAGTCCTGACTGGATCCCTCGGGTTTGCATTGATGGGCCATGTGGGGAGGCAAGATGGAGGGGTCTGAGATGAAGGTCAGGCTTCTGGTTGTGCCACTGGTTGAGCAGGCCATGGGTGGAACCCTCAGAGAAGAAGGGGTTACAGGAGCAAGATCTCACACTGAGTTTTAACGTGCTTAGCTTGAGAGCCCTGCCTTCTGTCCCAGCAGAGAGACATGAGGCATGCATTCAATTTGTTCATGGATTTAGCTTTGTTTGCAAACTTTTTTTTCCCCTCCTTTTTTGCAGGGCTGGGAATTGAACCCAGGGCCTCGAACATGCTAGGCAAGCATTCTACCACTGAGCTCCATCCCCAGCCAATGGGTTTAACCTTGTGGGGAGAGAGTGAAGGCAATTAACTTGGAGAAAAAGAAGAAGTAAGATAGAAGATGACATTTGCATTTCTTTATTTACCTAAAGTCTTGTCCACTTTTGTGTTTGATTAAATAAATAAGAAATTTTTCATTTAAGCACAGAGAGTGGGGATTGGGTTTCTGTCACTCACATGCAAAAAGTTTGGACAAATATACAAGGTG